CGCTTCGTAATTGACGGGATGTAGGGTTCGATCCCCGCTGCGGGCCATGCGCCTTGCGTTGGTTTCGACAGTGGTATCAAGAAAGCCGATTGTCCAGAAAGCAATGGCAAACTACTGGACGTAAATTTGCCTAGAAAGACCACAAAACAGCCAGGGGCTGTTGGGATTGGTTCTGCAACGTCCTGTAAAGGTTACGCAACTAACCTTTTGTTGTGTGTCGATTATGTATTATGAAGTAGATATCCTTGGGCTAAGCTGTACGTCTTAGTTGGGAGTTCATCATCATCCCGTGACACTACGTGTCATTGGGTCACCAGTTTCTGTTGACTGTCTGATCAGCTCTCTCCACCTTTGGCGGTCAGTTGCGATGGACTTGATGGTTGCATGCCTGGGGCCTGTCCATTCAGTCAGGTTCTGTAACTAGGTCTTTCTTAGTCTGTCTTTTCTCCTCTTTCCCTCTACTGAGCCCCGCAGTATTGTTTTTGAGAGCCCGTTAGATCTTACTACATGCCCATAAAACTGCATTTTTCGCCTTTTCACTAAATTGGTTGGGAGCTAAAAGTTACGCATGAGTAAACTCAGTCAGGAGAATTTTCCTCGAAGACCGGATGATTTGCACGTGAGGTCACAGTGTGCCTAGTAAAAACCATTGACATAAATTTGAACTGAACTTGTAACTCGATCGAAGTCTACGTCACATCAGTTAACATTCGCTTAAGTCTGAAGTTTAGTCATTTTTTTAAAAGGGGGGGGGGGGGGGGATTATTTTCTACTGTGCGGAATGTGTGTGTTTCTAGCGCTAACCAGTGATGTGGTCAGTCGCTTTTGTGGGCTGACTTACGGCTATTATGTTGATGAGATGATCTAGTTTCCCTACTTTTCATACATTTGCAATCTGTGGCCAGGACTGTCGAAGATCTTTTTATACAATGGATATCCATTTGAGTGGCGACGTGCACTAAAGTCAGAGACATTACAATATGTATGTGACAGTTGCCGTCGTGTTTGAGTCGCTCCTTGGATGAACTTGTGTGGCTCGTGTGCGACGAACTTTAAATTACTAATTTTCTAGATTACTTGACTTGGTTCAGCTAACGAAGTTAACTGCTTAATGATTCCACACTGCCCACACCAGCCCTTCCCCGAGACACATTCTACACTCCTCCGCGTATAGTCGGCCTCTCCTATTTATAACATCCTTGTAATGTTACAACATCCTTGTAATGTTACAACATCCTTGTAATGTTACAACATCCTTGTAATGTTACAACATCCTTGTAAGGTTACAACATCCTTGTAAGGTTACAACTTCTTTGTAAGGTTACAACATCTTTGTAATGTTACAACATCCTTGTAATGTTACAACATCCTTGTAAGGTTACAACACCCTTGTAAGGTTACAACATCTTTGTAATGTTACAACATCTTTGCAATGTTACAGCGCTCTTGTAATGTTACAGCACCCGTGTAATGTTACAACGTCTTTGTAATGTTACAACATCCTTGTAATGTTACAGTGTCCTTGTAATGTTACAACATCCTTGTAATGTTACAACGTCCTTGTAGGTTACAACATCCTTGTAATGTTATAACATCTTTGTAATGTTACGTCATCTTTGTAATGTTACAACGTCCTTGTAATGTTACAGCACCCGTGTAATGTTACAACGTCCTTGTAATGTTACAACATCCTTGTAATGTTACAGCGTCCGTATAATGATAAAACATCCTTGTAATGTTACAACATGCTTGCAATTTTACAACGTCCTTGTAATGTTACAACATCCTTGTAATTTTACAACGTCCATGTAATGTTGCAACGTCCTTGTAATGTTACAATGTCCTTGTAATGTTAAACGTCCTTGTATTGTTACAACACATGTGTAATGTATAGCTCAGACAAAATCTCTATTTAACATAATTTAAGGGCAAAATGCCAAGTAGGAAACATACAGCCAAATATAATTTGATTGAATGAGAATGTTTCCATACAAGAAGTCGCAAGGAATGTGATTCCTGTGAAAGCGTGAATCGTTCGAATTACATGCTGTGAAAGGAGTAGCTCAGTGTGAGAGAAAGCGAGATCTGTCTGTGTTTGATGATGCAGCTTAAAGCATGTTAGGGAAATTAGGAGAGAGCCTGAAACTGGGTGACTTCAAGCAGCCGTAGTAGCCACGAAAACATGTCTAATAGTCGTCAGGATGGAAGAGTTCTGAAAGACCGCAGCTGTGTTTTCGAGAAAGCAAATTCTTTGTTAAGTGAGTATTTACACGACCACGAATTTGGTATGCATGCAGAATGTATCGACTGTAAATAAATTAGTATGCCTGAGATAGTGGAGTTGAGTGCTTGGTCGTTATGTACACAGACTATTTGCAACACTGCACAGAAGTGACGCAGTTTGGGACACAGAATAAGCAAATCATTTGTCAAAAAGTTTGCTTCCGTCAATACACTGTCGACTTTTGGATATAATGGTTACTGTGACTCATACTGGGACAATGAGTGTCTGAGCCACTGCAATGCTCTGCTAACAACTTAGACAGAGGTACTACAGTAGCCCCAGTAAGTTAAGAACAAAGCATGCTCCGGAAGCTACAGGAAGAGAAGAGCAGTGCCTTGTCTGTCCTCCTGTCAGAGCTTCCTTCTTAGACAAGCTGCCAGACAGGAGTAAGGACCTGGTCTGTCCTGCCATAACATTATGTTTTCAGGTTTTATTTTCTCATCCAAAGATAAGGTTAGTATTCTCTAAACGAAGCACAAGGTAGTGATGAAGTAGCATATCATGTATGACATTTCTAATAAACTTATGGTAAGCTGCTTCCTAATGAGAGAGTTCAAGAAAAGATCTAAAATAATACATTTTCCACAGATACATCAATATATAATAGAGCACATAAAACCGAATTAATTCCACACAAATACACATCACATGGGTCTCTCTTGATAACTTCCTTGTTCATCTAATTGCAGGATGTTCACGATAGTCACGTGAGTTACCAGGGTAGCTTGAAATTTATAACGAACTCTTGCTGTTTACATGAGGGTGCAGCTGTAGGTCACGTCACCATCATGAACTTGCATCTGTTTTGCAAACTATGTACTAACAAAAACAATGCTTTTTTTTTTTTTTTCAGGAGAACTAATTCAGATTATTACTTTCTTTCCTCTTCTTTTTCATACGTTGATGTAGCTCTGTAGAAATGCACCTGACGGAAAACAGTAAAATGTGCCTGGCAATATTAAATCTTTGCTGTATCATTTAAAACCAAGACTACGAACGAATTCTTATTGCAAATTAGAGAAGTATAAGCAGAAGCATGAAGTGGTGTGATTTCAACCAACTACATCCAAACAGTGAAGTTCAAAGGTGCCTGAATATGTCAGTCCAGGTACCTTTGGCACCTTTTCCTCATGCCCGACCCTCCAGTTTCTATATCTCAATATGTCTAGGAGTTTTTCTTTTGAAACATTTTGGTTAAAAGATATTGTATAATATTTATTTGTAAAAAAAAAAAAAAGTATTTGCAATTAGACACATTATAAAAATAAAAAAAAAAATAAAAATTGTTGTCCTAGAATAACACCTCAAGAAGAATAATAAAACAGGAGCAGCTCCCAGACACCCCGTTCAACCGCATGATAACGGCACCTCTGTTGTTGCTAAAAACAAACAGACCAATGTGGACATAGAAAAATTTTATCAAGTGGCTTTTTTTTAAACAGCTTAATGAAGAACACAAACCTATGAAACATAGGTACAGCCAGAAAGCGTAATTAGAGTTGGTTGGTACTACTTATCGGTCATTGACTATCTCACAGTCCTTGCGACAGAAAATACGAGCTTTGGAGCTGAAATGCTGTACAAGATTTTTGGAATACCGTGGACAAAGAATAGTAGACATACTGGCATTTTGAAAGACCTAAAATGTCAAGGAAGACCGGCTAATAAATAGCATCTTGTCTCATAAATGTTTTAGTCATATCAAGCACCATGGCGAATAAAAAAATAAAAACAGAAGGCACGGTTCCAAGAAGAAGGGTCAGGGGTCGACCAACACGAGGAGGGCACAGGATATAAGTGACTCCTTGAATATGAAAGTACATGAGGCGGGAGAGCTGGCGTGAGACCGAGTTCATTGCTGGCAGACCCTAATTGGAGCGACGTTCTGCAAAGGACCTACTACACTATGAGTTAGCACTAAATTAGATGTTTTCTTTAGCCTCACGCTTCATCTATCTGATATATCCGACACAATACTTTCCCGACCCAGCTTGTTGCAGTTCTGTTCAACAATCTTGAAATATTTTCATTACCGAGTAAACATTATACAAAACAACACAGCCTAACTGTGCTACATTTCCTAAGATGCCTTTCTATGGAACTGTGTGATCTCGAGGCTTGATTTACGCCTTGAGTGCTACAGGTTCGAGGTTCAATCCCCGGTAAGGGCTGAGAATTTTTTTTTTTTTGGACTTGGACTTCTAGTGATCCCCCTGGTCTCTGGGTGGTGAGATCGTCTCCTGTGTCCATTGTGCATTGCCCTGGCAAAATTTGGAGTTGAAAATCTGTCTAAAGTATTTCAGGATCCTCGCCGGTGCTACAGAGCCTGAGTTAGAAGAAGAACGGAGAATTTATGGGTTACTACCCATGTGCCATGGTGTTGATCCGCTGTTTAAACCTGAAACCTCAAACTAGATACCTTTCTACACTGTTTTCAAACAGTTGCGTAACCTATTAGAGATGTAGACGCATTCTCAAAGAGATTTCTCTAAAAGGCTGTGTTGTAGACAAACGTTTGGTATCTAACTGTGTTTATGACGTTTGGGTTACTTTTAATACTATTTTCCACCCAGCTGTTTAAATTGCCTGTTTTCGTTTTCCTGTATAATATGTTGAAAATGTTTCTACAATTTTATGTATAGACGTTTTTAACTCGTTGTCTTAAATCTGGAAAAAAGTCAGTCCAGGACTTGCAAAGCATGTAAAGATATAGTGTTCAACCAGGCAACACTTTGTCATTGCCAGAATTTTCTGTGATCGTTTTCAAACATGAAACGAGTTTGTAGAATGTTTGTCTGTACTGTGTGCTCATTTTGATGTACAAAAAGATATTCACACTAGAGTTTATAGTTTCAAATAAAATACCAAATGACCACAGAGCGAAGAAAAGATTATTGTATGCTCCTGCAATGCTAAACTCCGGTTCTATTATTGTAACACAGTAAAGGATAACACTTGGAGTGTAGCAAATGATTAAGATGGTAGCGATGAGTATAATCATTGTCATTGTCTTCCTATCTCGATTGCTCATTTGCTGGGATTTGTCCAAACTCATGATCGCTGTTTTACGCCATGCTCCCTTCTGTCCTAGCTGTCGTATTAAAATCATTGTAAATATTACTACAGCCACAAAAGAGGAAAGTCCCAGAAACGCCTGCAAGACATAGACGATGTCTGTTAATTTCTGACTACCGCTCGCAAAAACTAAACCTAGAAGAGTTTTGTTTCTGTCTGAGTGAAACTTCCAGTTGATTGATGTCTTCATGTACAGTGGCGAGAAAGATAGAATCGTCATGGTGTAAATACAAGCCATTACGAAAGTCGTTCTTCTGGCAGTTATCATTCCTTTGATGTGTAAAGGAAATGCTATACACAGACATCGTTCTAGAGTCGCGTAGACAGTGATGAGGCAGGTGATTTTTGAAAAAGCAACCCTGGGTATTCCAGCAATCATATATTGAAACTCTGAAGGAACTAATGGTAAATCAGCAGCCTCGAACAGTGGGTTGAAGAAGATACTAAATAACTCCTGAGACAGCATCCCGCAGAGATCTGAGATAGCCATGGCGAAGAATGTGATGTTCATGCTTGACTTCAGGCCTTGTTTGTAAAAGACAAGTAAATTGATGACATTGGTGATTATTCCGAACAACGCTGCCAAACTGCATAAAAAGACTATGTTGAGCACTACGAATATTTGTCTCTGTATGTAGTCAATAATCGCCATCGAGAAGATAATATGTGTCTCGTATACCATCAAACTGGTAAGATTGTATGTAAGTTCGCTCAAGAGATAATCACAGGTATACCACTGCACTGATGACATAAGAGCGACTTACGGTATGGACGTGCATGGAATTTAAGCAACTTGAATGTATCTGGAACATATGAGCGACTTTAATGTGCTTGGACCATATGAGCGAATTGAATGTACTTAGAACATATGAGCGACTTGAGGTTGCTTGGAACATATAAGCGACTTGAATGTATGTGGAGCATGTGAGCGACCTAATGCATTTGTGACAAATGAGCGAATTGAGTGTCCTTGGAATATATGAGCGACCTAATGCATTTCTAGACTATTTAACAAAATATTTTCTTTGTGTTACTTCAATCGTACACTGCCATGATATACCTTTGGGTTGTCACAGTAAATTGGCTTGTTGTCAAACTCGTCCGCTGTGACGATGTCCAACTTCAAAAGGTATGTGAGATATTGCTTCAACCCCATCAGTCTTGATCGTTCCCACCATGTTCAGCAATGATTATAGCAATAGACAAAAAAAAAAAAACATAACATAGCCAACTTAAGTTTGAGCATAGTAATGTATACACTTCATTCTGTTTAAAATAATACGTATTTGCTTTCTTAATGATACGTTTTTTACTTGTAGCAACACGATAAAGAGTAAACGTCCTTTGGATGACGTCTTGTCACTTGCAGATGATTGTAAAATTTCTCATAAATACTTGTCTTACTTATTATACTGCAGTCCTACTTTGTGTGCCATCTTGCTACTTGCAAACAGTAGCAATATAAGAGACATAAATAACACGATAATGGTGGGATGAGCGGTACAGAATCCTAGGTTCGCATGCCGAAAACCAAGATTTGAATCCTCGTTAAGGCTGTGGTACTTGTTGTGATTTTTTTTTTTTTTTTTTTGCCGGGTTCAAAATCTAAATCCTTAGCTACACAGACCGTAGCGCCAGCACTAACTGTGCGACCCTAAATGCTTATTGACCCTCCTATCTATACTCCCTCCCCCCCCCCCCCACACCCCCGAGTTGTAAACACAGACAGTATTGGCATTTTTTCCCATAAAGTGAATAAAATGTATGTTCTAGAAAAATAACAAGCTCTCCAAAAGAGTAATTAAAGTCTTCCATTACCAGAAAGTGTGTACATGTGAGCAATGACTGACAGTGAGTGCCAACCACAGCGTAATTTGTTGTTTCACATTAGGCCTTTAATAATAAAGAAATCTGGCCAATTCTGTTGTCTTTTTGAAAGTAATGAAATGGCAATGTTTCAAGTTGATTATTTATTTTGTAGAACTAAACGTTATAGCGAGATATTATTGGCAGTGTCTGCTGCGTAGGGGTTATGAACAAATCACACTTTCCTGACATTCTACGATTAACAGTCAGCTTCAGGCAACTTGGCAGCAGGACGTTTTGTTTTGATGTCGACATTAGGAGCCTCGTACCTTTCAGAAAACAGTGCAAACTACTTAAACAAAGGTGCCTTATGAAACTATAAACAGCCCAATTTCTTGTGTTTTTTTTTTTTTTTTTTTTTTTTTTGCGATGTTACGCTCCTAAAATAATATAATACTGACCATCTATTTGAAACCTAGAAATGGAATGGTCACAGACTGCCAGATCTGTTTTACTAAGGAAGGAAATGTATTAATAAGTAAATTGCAGTATCTGGGAAACATGACAATCTGAGCGAGCTATAGACGATGCCTATGGGACCATTATTTTTGCAAATTATTACATAAGGTTAGTCTGTTGGAATGGCATTTACATTAATGAACACCTTTCCTACTTGCAGCTGAAGCAAAACATGTTATTACGCTTGGAGATTGGAAAAGGAGGGTGCATAATTAGCATAGACATGATTATGGCTTTACATGGTGGTAAAGCTAGATAATTGTCACATGCGCTTACTAAACATTCAATGTAAATGTCTGCACTTTTTTTTTTAACTCTGTGAAAACCGTTATGTGTAAGTTTGGGTTTAATATCAACGTGTCAACGATAATTAGACAGTGACTTGTTTGTCCAGACCTATTGGTGCTCATCAACATTTTATATTCCAACCAGGCAATAGAAAAGACTTGTAGAGAAGTTTTGACATTTTTTCCTAAGCTCACTGGTTGTAAACTCTGGTGAAAAGCTCAGGTTTTTCGTCCACATCTGGACTTTGGTCCTGTTCCAGAACTTCAGTTTTTGCCTACAGTTTTGTTTTACTGATCTGGCTTAGTTGTATGCAGGCCGTTAGTTCCTAAGCTCTCAGGCAGATGCACTCTGACTTCGAAGGAAACATCCCTGACTGGTCGTCTTTTACGACAGGATTGTTTTTTAAAAAACCACAAGGGCCGGTGAGTCTATGGTTTTTCCCTCCAGAATCTAACCATTGTGGGTACAGTATGCCGACATTCAATGATACAGTTTTTGTTAACAACTGTTAGCTGTGCATATCATTTAAAAAATAAAAAAAAAATTTTTAAACCTACAACGCTGGTTGAACGTGACGATTTTTTTTTTTTAGCAAAGCAACTAGCTACCACCTACCGCAATGCACGACCTACAATAAGTGTAGGACAATAAGTGTAAGACAGTAACTGTAAAACAGTAAGTGTTAAACAGTAAGTGTAAGACAGTAAGTGTGAAACAGTAAGTGTAAGACAGTAAGAATAAAACAGTAAGTGTAAAACAGTAAGTGTAAAACAGTAAGTGTGAAACAGTAAGTGTAAGACAGTAAGTGTGAAACAGTAAGTGTAAGACGGTAAGTGTAAGACAGTAAGTGTAAGACAGTAAGTGTGAAACAGTAAGTGTAAGACAGTATGTGTGAAACAGTAAGTGTAAGACAGTAAGAATAAAACAGTAAGTGTAAAACAGTAAGTGTAAAACAGTAAGTGTGAAACAGTAAGTGTAAGACAGTAAGTGTAAGACAGTAAGTGTAAAACAGTAAGTGTAAAACAGTAAGTGTAAAACAGTAAGTGTAAAACAGTAAGTGTAGAACAGTAAGTGTAAAACAGTAAGTGTAAAACAGTAAGTGTAAGACAGTAAGTGTGAAACAGTAAGTGTAAGACAGTATGTGTGAAACAGTAAGTGTAAGACAGTAAGTGTGAAACAGTAAGTTTAAGACAGTAAGAATAAAACAGTAAGTGTAAAACAGTAAGTGTAAAACAGTAAGTGTGAAACAGTAAGTGTAAGACAGTAAGTGTGAAACAGTAAGTGTAAGACAGTAAGTGTAAAACAGTAAGTGTAAGACAGTAAGAATAAAGCAGTAAGTGTAAAACAGTAAGTGTGAAACAGTAAGTGTGAAACAGTAAGTGTAAAACAGTAAGAATATAGCAGTAAGTGTAAAACGGTAAGTGTAAAACAGTAAGAACAAAACAGTAAGTGTAAAACAGTAAGTGTGAAACAGTAAGTGTAAGACAGTAAGAATAAGACAGTAAGTGTAAAACAGTAAGTGTGAAACAGTACGTGTGAAACAGTAAGTGTAAGACAGTAAATGTAAGACAGTAGGTGTAAAATAGTAGGTGTAAAACAGTAAGTGTGAAACAGTAAGTGTGAAATAGTAAGTGTAAAACAGTAAGTGTAAAACAGTAAGTGTAAAACAGTAAGTGTAAAACAGTAAGTGTGAAACAGTAAGTGTTAGACAGTAAGCGTGAAACATTAAGTGTTAGACAGTAAGTGTAAGACAGTAAGAATAAGACAGTAAGTGTAAAACAGTAAGTGTGAAACAGTACGTGTGAAACAGTAAGTGTAAGACGGTAAATGTAAGACAGTAGGTGTAAAATAGTAGGTGTAAAACAGTAAGTGTGAAACAGTAAGTGTGAAATAGTAAGTGTAAAACAGTAAGTGTAAAACAGTAAGTGTAAAACAGTAAGTGTAAAACAGTAAGTGTAAAACAGTAAGTGTAAAACAGTAAGTGTAAGACAGTAAGCGTGAAACATTAAGTGTTAGACAGTAAGTGTAAGACAGTAAGAATAAAACATAAGTGTAAAACAGTAAATGTGAAACAGTACGTGTGAAACAGTAAGTGTAAGACAGTAAATGTAAGATAGTAAGTGTAAAATAGTAAGTGTAAAACAGTAAGTGTAAAACAGTAAGTGTGGAACAGTAAGTGTAAAACAGTAAGTGTAAAACAGTAAGTGAAAACCAGTAAGTAGCTACAGACCCTGATTCTACCAGTCGCACATTTGGCATATTATGCTAGCCAAGTATTTTATAGACAATCTGCACTTAGAGAGGAATGGGGTCAACTTTATTTCTCATGACATTGCCTGAAACCAGTGCACAGTTGAGTCGACCTGGGAGTCAATGTCAGTTACGAAAGGAAAAAGGATCCGACTTGATGCGGGTTCGAACCCAAAATATTTGGTCAACTACGCTATATTATCTCCCCACACAAAGACTAGCCACAAAGCTACTGCAGCTCTCCGCACAAAACTACCGCAGTTTATTACACTAAACTATCTCTTCATTACCTGTATTAGTAATTCAGCTATTGTCATACAACTAACATGATTAATAACCTGTTATAAAAAAACACAACTGCCCTGTGTTGATTTCTACAGAGGCATCGACAGTCGATCGTCTAGCAGGCAATGGCAAACTACTGAACGTAACATTGTCTAGTGAAACCAAGCAGAGCTAACTTCTGAGTCTTCACAACATCACGGCTTACCGGGCAACCAAACGTGCCCTTTCTGGTCGATCCTTTATGCTGAAATCTGGACAAATTCAAAAATTATATATTATAGAATGTTCTGGCGTGTTCTTCGTTTGTAATTATATTTATTATTTTAGACATTGTATGTTATTGCAGTGCGAATTTATTATTCGCTTCTTCATCGACTTTGTTGTTATCATTTCTGTTTTTTGTTTTTATTTTATTTCTGCATGTAATAATATTCGCTAATTAGGTTTATTTTATATGCATTACGTTATATGTTATTTACAAATAAGCGGACACAAACAATAATCACGATCAAGTGCCTTGCCATATGCTCTTAT